ACCTTGAAGATTGACATCTCCGAGTATAGGGGAGTCGAAGAGGATTCCCTCTTGAGATGGTTCGTCGAATTAGACGACGCCATTAGGGCGCGTCGCATCGACGACGGGGAAATGCAAGTTGCATTTGCCCAGTCATATCTGGCAGGACGTGCCAAGACTTGGGCTTTGCAGCTCAAGGTGCGCGACCCGTATGCGTTTGGGTCGTTAGAAGTCTTCAAGTCGCGGCTCAGACAAACGTTTGAACCGCCTAGAGCTGAGTTCAGAGATCGAACTGAACTCTCGAAGCACAAATAAGGTGAGCGTGGTGTGCACGCTTACGCACAACATATACGACATCTCACGAGTTGTATAAGTTCCAACCCGGTAGATGAACACACGTTGGTTTCGGTGTTCATGCAGGGTCTTGCGGATGGTCTCGTTAAGACTCACCTGTTCGGACTTGAACTGGATACACTAGAACAAGCCATTTCCATTGCGGAACAGGAAGACTTCAGTCTGAGACAGGCTCGCGCCAGCTCGACATCATATCGTCAACCTAGACGATATGACAGCGGAGGTCCAGAGCCGATGGAACTCTGTTATGTTGAGAGCGAGAAGGCTCGCTCTACAGACTACAAGAAGTTGCAGAAATGCAACAGATGTCAAAAGACAGGACACTACGCTTACGAGTGTAGTGTCCCTCGTCCAGTGTCTTGCAACACTGGGCGAAATGACCGTCCACCCATGAGAAAGGGGCAGAGACGCGGGTCCGCTGTTGCTGCAAAAACGCAACAACGGGATGGACCGTAAAAAACGGTCAGGATCAGTAGGTGCGTAGCACCCTACTGGTCCAGCAACGTCAAGAGAATTTGCAGGCCTCTTGATGAAGGTTGCTCCCAAAACACAAATATTGTGCGTTGCTGCTCTAGGTAATGAGATCTCGCTCATTACCTTGAAACTCGAAGTGACGAATAAGTTGTCCCTTCGAGCTCTAGTCGATTGTGGGGCGTCCAACAATTTTGTGCGACGCCAATCGCTAGAAGATGGTCATTTTTAAGTTCAGTGAATGTGACACACTTCGTACGAAGATGACGGTACGTCTTGCGACAGGCGCATCCGTAACCGTCATGAAGCGTATAGTGAAGATTCTCTATACGCTAGAAGATACCCAATATGACGATGACTTTATCGTATTTGATTTGGATGACAAATTTGATGTCATCCTTGGAATACCGTGGCTCAGAAGGTACGAACCACGGGTAAACTGGCAACATCGAACAGTAACGATGCCTGCCCCTTGTTCATCAGATGGCCATCTGATGAACGTTTTGGAGCGTCCACAAGCATGTGGATGTACTACGAGTGAGTGCGATGGCCTCACTTGTGGTACAGTCGTTAGTACGACTGCACAAAACCTTAGTGTAACAAACAGCTACACTTCGGACCAAAGTTCCGGCGGCTGTGAGGACACACAGGCTGCGCCGAAGGTCCACCACTCGAATAAGTCGAGTGGACCGGGACAAAGATGTATCCCTAGCAGGGAACATCTAGAAGAGAAACAATCGATCGCTCAGGTTAAGCGAAACGATAATCCTAGATCGACTGGAGAGTCTTTCGTAGAGGATCTCGCTGTGGTTGCGCAACCCCAGCTAGAGGAAGTAAAGTGAATAAGTCCCGATATAACAAATACGGCGGAAATAAGTTCCCCGAAACCCGAGGGAATAAGTCCCCGGGAAGCCGAAGGAATAAGTCCTTCGAGACCTGAGGGAATAAGTCCCCAGGAAATGACAGAGACATTGAATGTCATAGTCAATAACGGATCAAGTGTAGGCGCTTATACACTTGATCTGATTGCGCCTCCGAAGTTGACTTCGGAGATCACTCAGTTGCCAACGCTCGAACATAAAAGGTTCTTGCGTGATCTGCGTAGTGGCAAAGTCAAGCAGATCTGCGTACTCGTCGCTGACGACGAGTGTGTAGCCGACATAAGATCAGCAACAGTGTTTACTGAGAACGAGAGAGTTCTCAGTAGTTGATCTATGGACGAGAGTGTCCTAGATGAAAAGACACGAGTTGAGCGATATGACTCCCAATCGTGGGAATCGCTCAAGACAATCCTCTCTATGAAGATTTGGTTGAATTCAAGGACGTATTCCCTGAAACTGTTCCGTGCGAATTACCGAAGGATCAAAGTTCTCGACACGAGGTCGAGCTTAAACAAGGCTCGAAGTACTGTGTCATGAAGCAGTGGCCACTGCCTCGTGAACAAGTACTTGCGATCGACAAGTTCTTTGCCGATCGTTTAGCTGCGGGCCATGTGAGGAAATCAACTACCCCACATAGCTCTCCGACCTTCTGTGTGCGAAAAGCAACAGGAGGTTGGCGGATTGTACATGCATTCAACAAGCTGAATGCTGCAACGGTACCGGCTTAGACGCCGATACCAAGGAAGGACGTTTCCATTGATGGCATGTCAAAGAGTACCATCTTTTCGTCCATGGATTTGATGGATGGCTTCTATCGAATCGTTATGTGAGAATGGTACATTCCCTATACCTTAGTGAGCACGCCTAGCGGCATGCTCTGGGAATGGCTAGTAATACCACAAGGGCTTAGCAATGCCCCTGCCACGCTCAACAGATGTGTATCACATCTGTTGAGACCAGTACGAGAATTCGCGCCAAGTAATTTTAATGACGTATTCATCCATAGTCGGGCTATGGATGGAAAGTATGACTTTGACTTTCATAGATACCACGTCCGACAGGTTCTTGCAATCATGCGAAAGCATCAAACGTATGCAAACCTCAAAAGTGTATATTTGCAGCAAGCGAAATACCACTTCTTGGGTGCATCGTTGGTAAGAACGGTGTGCGTCCTGATCCTGAAAAGATCGAGGCGATCACCGACTGGCCTGTGCCAGTTGATGTCAAAGGTCTTCGAAAATTCCTTGGGCTAGCGGCGTATTTGCATAAGTATTCACGCAATTACGCCGAGATGACTGTGCACCTCTCTCGTTTGTTGAAAAAGAACGAGAGGTGGTTATGGAATGCTGAATGTCAGCGCTCCTTTGAGGGTATCAAGAAGAGCTTGATACAATCCCCAGTCCTAGCGATTGCCGATCAGGACAGGCCATTTCATATGGTCTGTGATGCCAGCGATTTCGCAATCGGCTGTGCATTAATGCCGTACGATCTTGAAGGCGTTGAACGCGTCGTCTGCTATCAGTCGCGGCGCTGCAACCAGCTGAGCAGAACTATCCCTTGCATGACAAGGAACTCCTTGCCATGAAGTATGCACTCGCGAAGTTCAGAGTCTATCTATTAGGAGATAGACCCTTCATTGTTTACACAGACCATGCGTAATTACGCACGGCAGTAAACAGCCCGCACCTTTCACAACGAGTGGCGCGGTGGTTGTCATTCTTTGCAGAATACAACTTTACGGTAGAGATCAAACCAGAACGACTTAATGTCGTCGCTGATGCACTCTAACGTCGGCCCGACTTTGAACCAGTCGTGAAACCCAACAGTGAGACAGTCACAGTTGCGGTTATGACGTCCTCAGTCCCATCCACAACGTTGTATGATGATGTGAGGCGGGCATACGCCTAAGATGGTGAGATTGTGAAGTTGTTGACACATCTCTCACAGCCATCTCGAGAATCGCTGAAACGATTGTCGTCTGCGTATCGATCTGCATCAGATAGATACACTACTCGCAACGGTTTACTGTATTCTAAAGACATTACTGGTGACACACCACGTGTTGTCATTTTAGATGATACTGATCTGCGTTTGCGGATCATGTTCGAGTATCACGATGCTCCTATAGGAGGACATCGTGGCCGTAAGAAAACATATCTCACGGTGAGTCAAGACTTTTACTCGCCCCGCCCGTATCAGTTTGTGCGAAAGTATGTTCGCGCATGCGAAGTCTGTCAACGAGTGAAGTCAAGTCCTTCACTGCGTGCACTTTTACAGCCTCTACCAGTTGCGGCAGAGTGCTGGAAATCCATCTCAATGGATTTCGTCTTCGGGTTACCCAAATGCGCACGCGGTAATACGAGTATTCTCGTATTTGTTGACAGATTCAGCAAAATGGTACACCTTGTGGCTGTACCAGAGTCAATCACAGCAAGTGGCTGTGCTTGTGTCTTTATCGACACCATCTTACGACTTCATGGGTAGCCCCGTGAACTCGTATCAGACAGAGATCCATGCTTCACAGCTGAGTTTTGGCGCTCCGTGTTTAAATCACTCGGAACGCGCTTGAAGATGTCGACATCTGATCATCCAGAGTCAGATGGTCAGACGGAACGAGCCAATCGTTTCCTCGAAGAGATACTTCGAGGATACTTACACTCCTTTAAGAGTTGGAGTGAGTTCTTGCCAATGGTAGAGTTTGCCATTAAAAACTCGGTGCATGAGTCCACGACACATACACCGGTTTACGTGAATGGCTTGCGCCATCCGCGTGTACCCACCTTACTAAAGTGTAACTCTGGTTTAAGGGGGGAGGGACTCGCGCGAGAAAAAACCGATTTAGTTCAAGCTCATCACGCTCTGACGAAGAGGTCATTGCGTTTGATGCCGATATCGACAACATCGATATCGAAGAAGATGATGCCAGTGAGCGCGAGGAAGCCCTCACTGAAGAAAAGATTGATGTTGCCGCAGTGCACTCACAGCGCACTGAAGCTAACGAGTCAGCAGATGAGTTCATACTGGCTCGTGAAACGGTAGTCCGTTTCGTGCAAGACTCCATCGCCGAAGCGGTGGATAAGCAAAAGCAAAACGCTGACAAGAATGGAAGGGCAAACACTCTTTCATTTAATAAAGGTGACTTAGTCCTACTGTCTACAGTTAACTTACCAAAGCATGTAGTGACTAACGTGGGTAGTAGTAAAATTCTACCCAAGTACATCGGCCCATTTCGTGTATTGCACCGCCTAGGCAACGCATACACGATTGAACTGCCACGTAAGATGCGAACGCATCCCACGTTTTGCGTTGGTCGGCTTAAGCCGTACCATCAGTACGCTGTTTCTTCCGATGAAGAACGCCCTTGCGCTCAAGCATCTCACAGAGGGCCTTGTGCTCCCAATGGTGGACATCAACAAGGGTCTGAAGAGCAGTTATCTCAGCCCGAGACCGGTCAATATCCACACGAGCTACCCTTAGCTCGTCACGCAGAGATGTCAAAGCTCTCTCGTTCTCAAGCTTAGCAAAGGCAAACTCAGCTCGATGCTTCAAGACAGCGTCCGCCAGTTGGAGACGCCTGTCCCGCTCATGTTCGAGATCGCCGCGTAACGCAAGCGTTACGCGATCAAAGAGGCTCTCGGGGACACACGCTTCCCCACGATAGTTTGAAGAGCGTTTTCCCTTCTCCTCCACATCCATTGAAGAACTCTCGCGGTGGCCAGCGCTATCTGGTTGAGCAGCTGTCGAACCACCACGATGTGAACGGACGTCGGACGAGTTACCTCGTCCTGGGATGCTAGGGAGCCCCTCTCCCAACTGATGATTGACGTACTGGGTTTGGTCGAGCAGTACGACGCGGCACATCCTGTGCCGAAGAAGGACCGCCGGAGAAAGTCTTCCCGGCACGGTCGTAAAGGTATTTCAGGTTGCCAATCCCTTCGTACATCTCACTAGAGATACGTACGCGCCACCACGGGCTGTTAGGGAGGCAAGCCTCCTTAGGTGCTCGTGCAGAGTTGTTCACACAACATGGGCACGAGTCTCCCCAAGAGAGGCAGGGTAATCCTTTCTCCCTTGAAAGACGATGAAGCTTGTAGCGTGCACCTGTCGGGGTTCGCTTTTCAAACTTATCACGAGCTTTGATAAGTTTGTCGTTCCAAACGTCACTACCTACATCCTCAAGGTTATGGATGTAGGCGTTCCACGCTTGAAGCAGTGAGGGACCATCAAGTTTGTGATTCCCACTATACCATCAATGCTCAAAGAAAGCATCGATGAAGAACTCATGTTCAGTGCGATAGTCTTTCTCACTGGGGTCAAGGTGATGGATCCTTGACGAATCGAACAATCGTGTTCGATAACGATCACTTGTCGTCGCCGACAAGCGATCCATGACTGACTTTGTAGGCAGCCATGCCTTCTTTTCGGGAGCGAGACGCAACACGTTGCGGTCCCGCTCTTCCTGCGACGTGCTGACAGAAGTACTGGTACCTTGCTGCGAAGTGGCGTCAAAAGGAGAACCGACACCACTGCGAGCGCCCGAGTCTTGCAATCTCGAGCGCCTTCGCTTTGTCGATGGTTCATCTGATTCGTCAGGTGAAATAAAGATGCTACGACGCGTAGCATCATCCATACCACGCTTGGCAGGCGGCTTGGTTTCAACCACCTTCGATACAAATTCCTCTTCAGTATCAGGAGAGTATGAGACACCGACCTCATACTCTGTGAAGACATGAGTGTCTTCATGACGAGCGCCTGCATCACCAGGTGATACAGGCCGAGACGCTTTAGCAACCGATGACACATCCGTTGCAGCGGTTTCTGCTTCGGCGTCTGCACAGAGACGTGCAGACGCGCTCTCAGCGGCCTTGTTCGCGCACTGCATGGACTTGTTAACCACGCGATGAAACTGATGGAATGTGGACTCGGACCAACAAGTGCAACCCCTGTCCCAAATGATTTAAGACGAGTATCCATTTTGTCAATCAATCACGTTAGTGACTGATGGTTAGGGGGGGGTAATGTAACGGGGTGAATCGTCACATAACAATTTACAAGAAATTGTTAATAGAATATAACTATAAGAGTTATATTCTCAGAATATTGTCATAAGAACAAATATTCTGCAGCACTTACGAGTAGTTCCTAATTGGTTGATATAGGCCATTATATCAACCAACGAAGACGCGCCACGACAGACGCACGCAATGAGCGGTGAGCAGATAGTTGATGTACACATTTGTATTTAGACATAGTTAGATGAGGATAAACAGTGGTTTGTTAACAGGCACTAACTATTATAAATACAATTCTACTTTTTACTTTAATCAAGTACTCGCTTCTCCTTACCGTCTTCCTCTGCCAGTGTGCGTGAAGTACGCGGCACCGCCTTATTCTGTCGTCAGAATAAGTAGCTTGTACTGTCATCAGTACAAGCTTGAGGGTTCCCCGTTACACTAGGGGTGTCCACATAGTAATCAGGTGTCGCCGACATCACCTACCTAGTCAGTCCCCTTTATTAATTACCATAATGTGACTTCTGTTTATAAAGCTGCACAAACTTTTTACGTGGACTTAATACTAGAATAGGTGATCCTTATATCACAAATTCAAAATTGCAGTGTTCAAGCACAGCCTCAGTATCGTTTAGTACGTATATATTCCGTATTGGAGTAAATATGTGAATTGACTTTGTTTAGTCCTTTCGATATGCTGCCCGCTCACCCATACACATGTTAGGTTTCTACGAGAGCCCAAATAAGTTCAGATTTTGTATCTTGATCAATCCTAGCATTTCGTCGGGATATTTGACAAGCTCATCTCTTGCGTCTTATTCTTCAGCATATAACGTTGTAGGCTCTGCACAACGTTAAGAGAAGAGCGCGCTAACCGTCATCGTACCAAACGTGCATTTTCGTAATGGTACATTGTACTTCCAAAAAAAACTCGCCGCGCTGGAATTGAGTTGTCGATATTTTTGATTCTTGGGGTGTGCACTATCATTCATATCCTCATCCAAATTCATGTCTGTGTTTAATGATGACGTCATGCAGGAGATCTCGTAGTCTGACCAGGATATCCATTTGGAGACTGTAACGGGGTCACACTAGCCATCGGCTGAATTGGTTGCAGACCTCTCAAATGTAAGATGGTAGACAAGTGTGGCCAAATAGATTTTATATCGATAGAGAACACCGATTATTCGGTATTCTCTGAGGTACGGTACTTACCGTGGATATACTTTGTACCGTCGTCGTTTGATGACTGATTAATGTGCCGACCATCCATTTAGTTCGAATACTAATTTTTGTATAAGTTCTAGTTTGGTCTAATGTAGGGTACTTAAGTCGGATTTTCCTTGATATTAAATTTTAATAAACTCAGTTCTCATTTTGAGCGGAAGTCCGTAGACTTTCCCCTTTCGTACGTTGCGCTTGAAAGTTTGATATAACTGTCGCGGGTTCGAGAGCATTTGACTCCTGTATATCCCTTTGCATATTGTGCGTGTAGCTGCTTAGAACTACAGCATTCTGAGCTAATAGCTCATGGAGTCCGCGCTAGTTCCGTGGAACTAGCCGACTCTTTAGCTTCATGTATTAGTCTTTTAGAACTAATCGGCTACTAGCCCTCACAACTAATTGGCAGATAGTCTTATGCCTCTGGCTTAACCCGTAAAGTATTCCTCTGAATTTAGAACTGTGATAGCTATGCTACAAAGACCTCCTTTCATCTCATCATGCGTAAAAGGGGAATTTCTAAACTGAACTGCAATTGTAGCAATCACAGGAAACTGGACTCCTAGACCAAAATATGAGTTTAATTTATCCAAGAGTCCATAAGTGCTTTACAGCTCTAGTCAGACGTACTTCGGCCCTTACAGCAATCCATTTTTCTATCATCTCATAATATAATTATGGCACAATGTCAAGTTGAACGAGAGGATCGGACTCTGGACAGAATATCTGTCTGGGGGACAGTCCGATGAACTAACGTACTGACTTTAACTTGCCGCTGGTGTAATCGCGCCTGCTCCCGAAATATACCGGATATAAAACCAGGCCTTGAATATGTAAAGGGTATTTAAATTATTGGACGATTCCGAAAACCTTCGGCTACCAGTACGTGAAACAATTCAATCCGGAAAATTTCGCTACCTAATAAATACATTATTCTACCTGCAACTACACTTTCTTTAAACTACACGAACTCCTGCATAAAGCCTTGTTCGCCTATCACTTCTACCTTATCAAACATAGGGGAGCGCGCTCTGGAGCTCGTCCTTTTGATATAAGTAATCCAGATCATACAGCAGAATCAATTTTCAAAACGATATACATCAGCAGCAGTTAATGAAGCAGGAGTTTAATGTTGTTAATGTGGGTATTAAGTCAGTACGGTATATCTGGGTAACGCGATCGGCCTGCGCTTATGAGCGTCCAGCATTTACATACGTGATCGTATGCGTCTTTGATTGATTATAATCCAGTCTTGTGCGTACACCACAGTATAAATACCTAGCCGAACAGTGACTTCGTATGTGTCTATAAACCTATGAGGGGGAGGCAAGGTTGTACCTTAAAAGTGCGAGGTACACTTGGCCACGTTATTTACAGACAGACACACGCAGGGAAATAAGTACGCTTTAAAATCTCATCATTCAACCTTGCACACACTCACTGATAGCTTCACCTTCGGGCTCGCAATAAGGGGTTCGTCACCCGATACTTTAAGGGAAATGTTATTCAGCCACCACCCTTTCGTTAAACAGCTACCACCCTCCAGTAGGTAATGTGATTTTTTATTGATAAATTTTGGGGGAAATGCATTCAATTGGTCGAGCAAGCATACAACGTCGTAAAAGCCAATAAACACATTTTTGCAATATATTAAGATGGGTGCTATATATAAATATAAATGGGTACTACTAAACTAGAAGGACGTCTTGCGTTTGATCTTCATAGGTGGCAACACTACATTAATTGACTTATGTTGTTCATTTTGTGGCTAACAGACGAGCTGAAATGATATGGCCAAATTCTTCTGAACGAGTAAAGCGTGATGCTCTCGGTTTTCCTTCCGCGTGGGCACATAATGTAACGGGGAACCCTCAAGCTTGTACTGATGACAGTACAAGCTACTTATTCTGACGACAGAATAAGGCGGTGCCGCGTACTTCACGTACACTAGTACGTGCAGAGGAAGACGGTAAGGAGAAGCGAGTACTTGGTTAAAGTAAAAAGTAGAACTGTATTTATCATAGTTAATGTCTGTTAATAAACCACTGTTCATCCTCATCTAACTATGTCTAAATACAAATGTGTACATCAACTATCTGCTCACCGCTCATTGCGTGCGTCTGTCGTGGCGCGTCTTCGTTGGTTGATATAATGGCCTATATCAACCAATTAGGAACTACTCGTAAGTGCTGCAGAATATTTGTCCTTATGACAATATTCTGAGAATATAACTCTTATAGTTATATTCTATTAACAATTTCTTATAAATTATTATGTGTGACGGTTCACCCCGTTACACATAATACTAACATAAATTAGGCCGAACATGTTGATTTACGGAACGATGTCTGTGAAGGTGGACAAGTAGTCCTTTTATGAAATTAAGGGCATTCTGTCGGGATGTGGGAGTTCATGACAAGAACTCGGCATCACAAGCCGAAGAATGAAGGTGAAAGTGTCAGCGATTATTCTGTCAAGCTTATGAGTCGCAATTGACGCGAAACGAGACGGAATTGCCGAAATCTACCTGGCCCGGAGCAAACAATTAGTGCTACGCCAGGAAGAAGCACGTCAGTGAGGTCGTTTTCGTCTCGCTAAGGGGTTTGACTAGGAGCAGGGTTATTTTTACAGCATCATATCTGTATTGCCTATCCTTTTTGCTCGTTTGTATAATACGACATAGCTTTGTTGTTGTGCATGGATTTCAATTGCTGCCTTTACTTCCTCCAACAATCGTACGCAATCTGGGCGGTGGCCTAATAGTATCCACAGTAGTCAGCAATGAATAAACGAACCTGGTATCAATTTTAGATGACGGCACAAAAAGCGGACATAGGTATGATAATAAAAAGATTTGAGCTCAAAACACTCAGCTTACCTTTTATTCAATGAAATGCGACGTTTACCGAAATTAATATAAACTTATAAAACTATTGGTGAGTCGTAGCTGATCAACGAAAGAGTGGTGGCTGATTAACGAAAGAGTGGTGGCTGAATATCGTTTCTAATCTTTGCCGTGCTCTCATCGACTGGCGATATTCTTCAATTGTCAAGCTAATCAAGCAACGCACACCCTGTCCAAATGTACCAGATATCGGTGGAACTGCTTCAGTAATGGCGAGGAAACAACACATCGATCCTTGCCAGATCGCAGCAGCACGACTGAGCGTACCCAGTCTTGCTATTTGTCCGTTTTTCGTCACAATAGACTTGCGCAGTCGGTAGGGCACTCTCCTAGTATACGAAGGTAAACTTGACATTCTTGACCACCACTTGCTGCTGCTAAGATCGTTCATTTGATAACCTGGCCAAGGACATGTACCCGTCAGTCTAGCAATCCAACTTACAAAACCACCCGAGACATTACCATCAAAAGAAAAGAAGTGATGCATGCACACACCACCGTTCAACTCACGATAAACAACACCCATCTAGCCTATAGTACACTTCAGCACATACCACACGCTGCTGGTAACCCACGACCTTTCCGGGTTTTCCATCGCTGCAGAGATACTACAGCCACTCTCGTCGTTGTAGCTCAACTCGAAGTCTCTGTCACACAAAAGCAGCAGCTGCAACACAGCAGCACCAAGCATCGTACCAGACGTCCTCTCCCTCCAGCCATCACTTGTTCACAGCCGTTGCAGAAACCCCAGTGCCATTTCCAGCCGTCATCTTGGACCTGGCTTCCTCCACTAACATCTCCTTCAGCAGCTGGAACTTGGCGTGTTTCTGCTCCGTCAGCTCTTGCAGCTTCTGCTCCAGTCTCTTCAACTCACTTCTCGTTGCTTCCAAATCATCCACCTCTTCTTTTTCTGCAACAGCTTCAGCTTCAGCTGCTCCTTCCGTTCCTGCCATCAGTTTCAGCTGCTCCTTCTCCGTTACACACGCTGTTTCACCATTCCCAGCCACTGCATCTCCATCGCATCTTCTGTGCCGGATGCTGATCGTTTTACGCCAGTTTTTCTGCCTACATTGGCGACGAATCGCTCTGCAAAAGACATAAAAACGAGCAAAACATCAATTTGCATAGTCCAGTCAATACAACGTCATTTTATAGCCACGTACGTGGATATCGCTCGATATTTTGCATCCTTCAGACGCAGCGGCGTCTGGAGACGAAACGTGTGCGGTAGTAGCGCCTCTAGGTCCCGCAGGCCTGCGTAGGGAGCGCGCAGATTGCGCGCATACGGTCGTCCGCTCATGATGAGTGACGTGGAGTTCAGTTAGAGAACGCGATAATGAGTGACTTGATTTTGACCAATCAGAGACGATCACTTAACTTTCTAAGAAACAATAGCCCAAAAGCGCGACAAACGGCACAGTCGAATAGGAAGAAATAAAACCGCCGCTCGAGACTGGGCACGTCGCGGGTTTCGTCCTCTCTCTCTCTCGCTCTCTCGCTCTCCATACTTTGCGTCGCACTCTGTACGTGTCATGAAAATCGTTGCAATTGGTACGTGTGGGTTCTCTCTTTCTTGTGGCGTGTATTTGTTGTAGCTGCAGTCACTTGTTAGGCTAAAAGGCTGCGCGATCAGGAGATCGTTTAGAGAAAACCGGTATGAATGCACCTAACGTGTTTGGTGTATGGATATGTTGTGCTGGTATACTGTATTGCTACAGAACTGCTGCGTCAGGATGGTCAGGGACAAGATCCCCGAATCCTCTCGGCGGCTTTTGAAGTGTCGTCTTTTGGCTATTTCCAACGATCGGGGTACGGGAGATCAGGAGCAACATTTGGTGCTCTGGTGCTGTTGGTGTGCTGATGTTTTTTTGGTTATGGTGCTGTGTGTATCTGTCTGTATGTCTCTGGCATTTGCAGTGTCCGGGAGATGATCAACTTTTTTAGTCGCACGTTCATTAAACGAACGGATGCTGGCCAGCGGCAGTCGATCCAGCACGAAGAGTACAATTGCCACGTGCACGTCCGTCGTGACGGGTTGTCGGGGATCGTCGTGTGTGACCAGGAGTACCCGCCTCGTGTGGCTTTTGCGCTGCTGAATAAACTCATGGACGAGTTTGACAAGTCCACGTGGTGAGCTGGAAGAGCATGGCGGTTCTTTTGTCATGTTTCTTTTTTTTGAGTGATGGGTTTCTGATCGTGGTGGTCGGGTGTGTTTTTTGTGTGCTTGCGTACTCTGTAGTGGCAGCTGGAAGACTCAGACCGGTAATCCGCAGGAGTTCGGACCGTTGACGACGGCTTTGGCCGAGTACCAGGACCCTTCCAAGGCTGACAAGATCTCGGCTATTCAAAAGGAGCTGAATGAGACCACGGCTGTGCTGTCAAAGACCATTGACAATGTGCTCGAGCGTGGAGAGAAGCTGGATGACCTCGTGTCCAAATCACAGGACCTCAGCAGCCAGTCGAAGGTGTTTTACAAACAGGCCAAGAAAACCAATTCCTGCTGCGTTGTCATGTGAGAACCAAGCGCCCCGTCGATACATTTTTTGTCTTTTCGCAATCATACATCTTTTATCCATCGGGGTTTCTCCCACGTGCTATTTTTTCTCTACTGTGTTCATGTTTATTCATTCTTTCTAAACGACTTCTTACCTGTGCAAAAGGCACCGAGGGCTTACATCCTGGCCCCGCTCTATTGCGAACTGTCTATTTAAGTTTAGGAGAAGCTGTAGCAGCTTTTCTTCGCGGCCGAAGGGAGCGCTTGACTGGTTGGGATTTTGCTTTCGTCTTAACCTTCATGACATCGATGGAGTCATTACCATCCTCGTTCACAGGTTTATTGGCCTTGTTGTGTCTTTTCTTCGGTATCCGCCTTGCATCGCTATTTACACGATCATCTTTATCGTCAGCTTCAACACTCTTGCAGGTCTTCTTGGTCTCGGAGACACTCTCATCACCTTGCAAAACAAGAAGCTTTAGCTTTCACAAACACCGACAGTCCTAGTAGCAGCACAAAAAAGAGAGCACGTACTATCGTCTTGTTTTGCAGCAATGTCCTTCCATCGGTTGCTGGTGCCCCTACTATCATCAGAATCTTTCGGTGCCGTGTGGTTACCGCAGGATGAACAAGGATTCCCCGCCCCATCAGGTACATCTCTCAACTTGTCCAACTACATACCAATTCGAGTAACATCAGCGTCAGCAACGCATCATCCAGTCAGAATGACATTCAACCGACCGACCTGTGACACAAGCTGGTTTATTGACTCGAGCTGATCACTCGCAAGCTGCTGTGCATCTTGCTTATGAGCTATCACACGTGTCAATTGGTGAGCCATGTCAGTATCGACATTACACCATCATCACCACACATTGGCCATGTCATCGCATCAGTAAACTCACCTTCTGCTTTTTGTAGCTGGTATCTCAGCCGTTTGATCTCACCCTTCATCTGAAGCGACACTAATCGCTCTTGCTCCCAGTCGTCCATGTTTTTAGGTAGGTACGACGGAAGCCACTGAAGTGCACCGGGTCCAACAGCAGCAACATGATCAGGCAATTCGCTCAATGGGCTTAGCAAAAGTCCCGTCTCGAACGGCGTAATCGGAATTGTACACGCTGGAAAATCGATCACGCGACGATTTTTCGACTTCTTGCTGCTTTTTACCGGCGCGGGAATCATGACGAGTCGCCGCTTCCTACCTTTTCGACGACTGACATCTTCCATGAAATCGTCGCCAGGTGAGGCACCCGATTCTTCTTCTGACGACGACGACGAAGACTCGTCATTACTGTCACCTGAACTCTCCTTCTCGCTATCGCCCTGTGAAAACCCAATCACTCCGTTGGACACACGCTGTTTACTCAAAGGTTGAACAAGTGCTCCAACTTTCTCGAACAAACGCCGTTTTAGCTCTTCTTCGGTCTCCGTATATGTCATGTCGGAAGGCAAGACCTCCACACTCTCTTCCTGAATGTATGCAATGCCATCTGAATCCAGCTCTGCTACGAGCAGTCGTGTGTCCAAGCGCAGTTCGAGCACACGACCAGTCCCAAACGAGGCATGTTTCACACGGTCGCCGACACAGACCTCGTCAATCTCAGGCAGTTCGATCTTCCGTGCGTTCAACATTGCTTCAAGTCTGCTCTTTTCACGAGTGAGACGCAAAATACTACTACCCCGCACTTCAAGCTCCGTCATAATGTCCTGAAGTGCACTAGTGCGTCGTCGACTTGACTCCAAACTCTTTGCCGTATTCACTACTTCGCAACTTAGTGCGCGCGTGACACGGTCCTGTTGCTTCTGCATGCGCTTCATCTCGCCAACTTGCCACAACAAAGTACATCGATGTCGGACAAAATCTCGCTCGAGATCTTCGCGCTCAATTGCCATGGCGCGGAGTTCCCGTTGCGAAATACGCACCGCACGTCGAGCCGCCGGCAACGTCTTGACAAGTTCCTCCGGAGCCATGGCCCCATTGCGTGCATTTTTCAGTCCTGTCGGCAACCGTGCCGTCGCTTTGTCCTCATTGTCACCTTCATTGACCAGACAAAGACGTCGAAAGTTCTTGTCCCCAACAGTTGGACGCTTGGCATGCAGCTGAATTCCTGCCCGAGCTTCAAACCTCGCAAGTTGGTGCTGAATGTGCTTGACATCGAGCTGCACCTCTTGCTGCGATAAACTCTTGACACTCTCAATGTCAGGAAACAGTCTCGGGGGTCGATCATACTGCTGACCTTCGTGCAGTCGCTGCATGCGCTGCAGCGTATCAGGACCAAGCGGCAGGTGTTCTACCTCCTCCTTCCTGTACCGTCTGCACGTATCTTCATCCTCAGTATTCCGGTGTTTCAGCACTTTGGGGCGTCTGTAGGACATATTTAATCACATCAAAACCGCATTCTAATTAGCAATAAAGTCGGACCTTTTTTTTTCGTGGGCGACCTCCTCTTCACAGTCAAATAGACGGACTCTTTACGCACCTGCAGACACCCGTCTTTGCATCGCGTCGGTCTTCATCAGTGTACTCGGTATCGCCAAGAGTTGGCGCTTTCTTTGGCCGGTGCTTGACGCGATTCTTGCTTGGGGTGTGGCTGTCCGCATTCGTGTCAAACATGATGATGATGATGATGCTGATGATAATGAGACCGATGTGAACGACACTTGTTGTGGTTCTGTTTATTTCGCGGTCTGAATCGACTAGGTTGTCCGCGTATACCTTCTTGGGAATTGAGAGATTAAGTGACTTTGGGGATCCTAGCAACGACGGAGCTACATTGTGCTACTATTTAGGAAAACCCCTACATGTCGATTTGTGTTTGGTATGAATTCGATTGAGTTGACAAAGTGGGTGAGTGGGTGGGTGATAGAGAAGGAATTATTTGTCCTGAGCATCGAACGGGTTAAATGATACGCAGATGGACCCGGCAGCTTCACGACGAATGGGCGGTCGGGAAGCTGACAGGCGACTGAGCTACGATGTCGGTTGGCAAAAAGTTGATAGCTGGCGTCCTATAGCGGAGACCACATATCAATCCGACATGACTGTAGGAGGAATCTTGATTGAAAGTCCTTCAAACTCGCATTGTAGAACTTACTGGCACCCGACGTGTCCCCGATGATAAACTGTAGTTGCAATGGTGTTACCGCCGTAAGTTTGAAGTGAGGCGACGGTGAATTGTGACTTAAACTCGTAGAAGTTTTTGTAGATGGGGGACAGAGGAAATATTGTTCCAGGAGCATTCAGCCTCTTCCGGCGAAAGCGCGAGGCAATTTCTGGCTTTACCACGACATGAGAGAAGACACTTTCTTCATAAACACACACTTACACGACAAATTTTGAGTGAAGCGACACATTTGTAACTACATCGGGAAGCAGACACCGTGCCGAAAGCAATGAACTGGCGTCAGAGCGCTAGATGGTAGCACTGCCAGAGTTAGCACGAGAGGATGGTTGACACGTGGTCTGCACCTGTAGTAGCATGTGGCGTACATTCCAGAGCCACGCAGTAGTGGTATACTGCCATCACCTGTCTCGATAATGAGGCTAACACTTGCATCGAGTTGCGAGCTACCGATCAATGAAAGCCAACAAGACGTGTAAGTCATAGAGGTTTTTACGATCATTGTATCCGATTGACGATGTACGACGGTCGATGAGGCTCGTGGCAGTTTCTACAGATGTGCTTTCTTTTGTGGTACAAGTAATAGAAGGACCTCGTTTGACGTGCCTTATTACAGTCATCATCCTGCTTGTCCCGACCAAAACTAGAGCGATGCTGAAGAAGCTAGTGAATGTGACACAAACGAAGCCGAAGGGACGCTGTCAACTTCATGGACGCAAAGAGCTGTGTGAACACTTGCTTTTGATTAACTATGTATGTTGTGCACGCGGTAATGCTAGTATTTCAAGATATAATATTTGATATTGGACTCAGAAGCCACAGCGTGCTATGTGGATGCAGATTTCCTGCAGCTACGAGATCTAACAGCGACTACAGGTTTTGCGTGCATCCGTACGTGTACGCTGATTCCTCGATGATTAGGATGGCTAGCTTATTCACTTGTCCCTTGTACATCACAGCTTGGCAACACGAAAAACTCGTACAGCATGAAGAAGTTCATCACGTACCAATCAGACGGCGCTGGTCTTGTCACATGCGCCTTTGCCGCAATCTCACACGCTATCAGCTTGTCTTCACTTCTCGTAGTGGTGCTAAAGCATAAATGTGCAGCCATACATTCGACAAGAATCACAATCTGTTTGCACGCGAGAAGTGTGAAACAACACACGGGCTAGCGATATACGCAGCGTGTTGACTTTGGCATTACGCGTTACTTGCTCTTTGGCTCTTTCGCAAAGCTTTGGGACATATGCAACGATCATGCGGCATCGCACGTGCTAGACTCTTCGACGCAGACCACTGCTTGTTGTCGGGACTTGTTTGTTTGTTTGTTTGAGGCTGTGTGTTGGGCGTAGCGCACAACAGACTAGGGGCGATGAAACGCGGGCCTCGATCGGAACATGTACACGAAGTTGATATTGTCGACGTAGAAACATACGGCGGTCAAGTCGAACGGTGTGCTTCCTCGCGTCCCAGCTGTTTCTCGCAAACAAGTCGAGCGTAGAATCGCACGTTCCAGTCAGTTAAAGAAAGGATAAAGGGTCGCGAGACTATGAACACGACGTCTTCTGTAAGGATACACACTCCGCGCCAGGTAATATCGTACGTCCATACTTTTATCCACTGCTCAGTCAATTATACGACTTAACGGGTGCTTTTGAGATATGTGGCGTATTCTATGGATAGAAGCACCCTATGTGTGTTAACGATCTCGATTTCGTAGACTTTAACGGACCTCACATACAAATAACTACTTTGGCCACTGCGGCAAGTAAGGTCGTGCATGTTGGCATACACTCTTTACGTCTAATGTGACAGTATGATTGTATCATTGGACAAATGTCAGCGGCACATACCGTTCGGAACCACGACAACTACGACAATTAGCAACAAGTATGGCAACAAGAAGCCACGACTTGATGGTATCGATTCGCTATGTATAGCGTACACTAACCGAGGGTGACTAGTTTGTATACATCACAGCATAGCTTGTGTACATCACAGAATCGAACACAACTACAACTCGATGTCGCTGGCGTTACTGTGAGCAAAACCTGAGCGAAGAACATGATCAAAAATCTTCTGGCGGATCCGCATCAGGACGTGCACTAAATTATAATCACAATAGAACTCGTCGTCATGAACAACTGTACGACCAGTACTTTATGGCATCACCGAAGTACTATTTTCAGTCTTTTCGTCGCTGTAACGGCGCACCCTGAAGCTTGTACTGATGACAGTACAAGCTACTTACTCTGATAACAGAATAAGGCGGTGCCGCATAACTTCGCGTACACTGGTACGTGCAGAGGAAGACGGTAAGGAGAAGCGAGTTCTTGGTTTAAGTAAAAAGTAGAACTGTATTTATCATAGTTAATGTCTGCAATAAACCACTGTTTATCCTCATCTTACTATGTCTAAATGCAAATGTGTAAATCAGTTATCTGCTCACCACTCATTGCGTGCGTCTGTCGTGGCGCGTCTTCGTTGGTTGATATAATGGCCTATATCAACCAATTAGGAACTACTCGTAAGTGCTGCAGAACATTTGTCCTTATGACAATATTCTGAGAATATAACTCTTATAGTTATATTCTATTAACAATTTCTTGTAAATTGTTATGTGACGATTCACCCCGTTACATTACCCCCCCCTAACCATCAGTCACTAACGTGACTGATTGACAAAATGGATACTCGTCGTAAATCATTTGGGACAGGGGTTGCACTTGTTGGTCCGAGTCCACATTCCATCAGTTTCATCGCGTGGTTAACAAGTCCATGCAGTGCGCGAACAAGGCCGCTGAGAGCGCGTCTGCACGTCTCTGTGCAGACGCCGAAGCAGAAACCGCTGCAACCGATGTGCTATCGGTTGCTATAGCGTCTCAGTCTGTATCACCTGGTGATGCAGACGCTCGTCATGACGACACTCATGTCTTCACAGAGTATGAGCTCGGTATCTCATACTCTCCTGATACGGAAGAGGGATCCGTATCGAAGGTGATCGAATCCAAGCCGCCTGCCAAGCGTGGAATGGATGATGCTATGCGTCGTAGCATCTTTGGTTCATCTGATGAATCAGGTGAACCATCGCCGAAGCGAAGGCGCTCGAGGATGCGAGACTCGGGCGCGAACAGTGGTGTCGGTTCTCCTATTGACACCACTTCGCAACAAGGTGCCAGTACTTCTGTCGGCACGTCGCAAGAAGAGCGGGACCGCAGTGTCTTGCGTCTCGCTCCTGAGAAGAAGGCATGGATGCCTCCCAAATCCGTCATAGATCACTTGTCGGCGACGACGAGTGATCGTTATCGAACACGATTGTTCGATTCGTCAAGGATCCATCACCTTGACCCCAGCGCGAAAAACTATCGCGCTGAGCATGAATTCTTCATTGATGCTTTCTTTAAACATTGATGGTACAGTGGGAATCACAAGCGTGATGGTCCCTCACTGCTTCAGGCGTGGAACGCTTACATCCATAACCTTGAGGATGTAGGTAGTGACGTTTGGAACGACAAACTTATCAAAGTTCGTGATAAGTTTGAAAAGCGAACCCCGACAGGTGCACGCTACAAGCTTCATCGTCTTTCAAGGAAGAAAGATGTTCTCTGCCTCTCCTGGGGAGACTCGTGCCCATGTTGTGTGAACAACTCTGCACGAGCACCTAAGGAGGCTTGCCTCCCTAACAGCCCGTGGTGGCGCGTACGTATCTCTAGTGAGATGTACGAAGGGATTGACAACCTGAAATACCTTTACGACCGTGCCGGGAAGACTTTCTCCGGCGGTCCTTCTTCGGCACAGGATGTGCCGCGTCGTACTGCTCGACCAGACCCAGTACGTCAACCATCAGTTGGGAGCGGGGCTCCCAAGTAACCTGGGACGGGGGATAGCCGCGCCACCGGACGAGATAACTCGTCCGACGTCCGTTCACGTCGCGGTGGTTCAACAGCTGCTCAACCAGATAGCGCTGGCCACCGCGAGAGTCCTCTAATGGAGGTGGAGGAGGAGGGAAGACGCTCTCCACACAATCGTGGGGAAGCGTGTGCTCCCGAGAGCTTCTTTGATCGCGTAACGCAAGGGTTACGCGGCGATCTCGAACATGAGCGGGACAGGTGTCTCCAACTGGCGGACACTGTCTCGAAGCATCGAGCTGAGTTTGCCTTTGCTCAGCTTGAGAACGAGAGAGCTCTGACGTCTCTGCGTGACGAGCTAAGGGTAGCTCGTGGGAATGTTGATCGGTCTCGGGCTGAGATAACTACTCTTCAGACCCTTGTCGATGCCCACCATCGGGAGCACAAGGCTCTCTGCGAGATGCTTGAGCGCAAGGGCGTTCTTCATCGGAAGAAACAGCGTACTGATGGTACGGCTTAAGCCGACCAACGTAAAACGTGGGATGCGTTCGCATCTTACGTGGCAACTCGATCGTGTATGCATTGCCTAGGCGATGCAATACACGAAATGGGCCGATGTACTTGGGTAGAATTTTACTACT